CATGGAGCTTCCTCGAATTTCTTAAATGCTAACTTGTGCTGGATCAGTAGTTTGGTGCTTGATCATCATCTAGCTCATGTCTTTTTTCCTTAAGACATTGCTCTTGAGTAACACTTCTTTTGTGATATTCATCATTTGTTGGATCGTTGCATGACTAGCTCCTTTCAATTTTGGTGGGACCATTATTCTGATGGTAGAAATCTTCTTCCTTTGTTTTGTCATGGCGTGGCTTAATGCTTTGATTAATTAAATGAGCTCTAAGCTTTTATTAATGCTTTGTCAGAACCTTAACTCCTGGTCATACACCTAAAAAGAAAATATTCAAAAATTAGCAAAAAATAAAAACTTAGACGAAATCTTTTATTAAAAACTAATGGTACTGCTAAATCCCCAACAACGGCGCCAAAAACTTGATGGGAAGTAAGTTTTGCCCCAAGCGAAACAACCTAGACTGCAAGTGCACAACCAATCGATCATAGTACTTAGGGATCGAATCCAAAGAGATTTAGAACAAACATAAGCAATATAAACTAAGGAATTATGCTAAGTCAAACAAAATTTTGTGGTTTCAAGTAACCAAGCAAGTATTAAATTCGTTGTAAGCAATAAGAGGAAAACGTTGGGCTTTCAACGATTATAAGGGATTCATAGTTCAAAATTTTCAAGCAAAACTCGTAGGGGCAATCGATTCAATTCTACTTCTTCCTAGAACATGAACACATAGTAAGTTAAGCATACTCTCGTAGCGATAACAAATTCTCATTCTCGTAGTGATAACTAATTCAAATTCATCCTACCAATCAACTCTCACAGCGACAAGACTCATTCTCATGCAATTGTAAAGAAGTTCAATTGTTCATCTAACTCAATTAATTAACTTTCACAATCTAAAGAATCAAACTCATCAAATACTATATTCATGACAATGTAATAGAACAGTTAGCACACAATACCTTGTCTAAGATCAGTTCAAAAGTGATCAACCCTAGAAACATGCAATAAGAAAAAATCTAGATGAAGAAATACTCTTAATCTATCAAAGGCGCCACCCTAGTTACAAAACATATCTATTGAACCATGAAATCTCCTCGAATTTATCCCCTTAGAACCCAACAAAGAAACTACTAAGACATGACAAAGTAAACCATAGCAAAAGTAATAAATAAACTTATAATCATTAAGAACAGTAAAAAGGGTTCAAGAAAACTGCTTTATGGATTACAAAGAGGTGAGATTCTTCTCCCTTAATCGAAACAAGCAATAGAAAGAACAAGTGAAAGAGATTGAATGTCTTGAAAGATTTGTAAAGATCTTTGAGTTCTGAGATAGGTGAAAAGTGGTCTCTGATTTTTATGGCCTCTGTAATGCTTTTATAGGTAGAGAAGTCGGATAGGGTATATTCCAAAAGATTTAGGAAATTTTTTCTTGAAAAAATGAAAAATTCTCTTTTACTCGGACTGGATGATCGATCGATCACCACCTGTAATCGGATCACCGTGTTAATGCATTTCTATGTCCAAAACCAGGGACTCACGTCTGATCGAGAGTATGTAGGTGTCCGGTCGAACGCGGGTGAATATTTTGAACTGCCTTTAACTTTCTTTTTACTTGCACAGATTTCAATATATCGATGATATCTCAAGATCTAACTATTGGATTGTGGCGATCGAATATTCATTTTGAAGCTGAGATCCTCTTCATCTGAAGCAACATATATGGCGGTCATGATCTATCTTTTCTTGAAAAGGCTGATTTCCCTCTTTTAAGCCCAAATTGTTCCAATTTCCTTTATATACTTCAAAACCCACAAAAATGCTAAAAATAACTTTTAAAACCCAAAAATTATTCATTTCTTTATTAAAAATATAATAAAAATGGGTAAAATATCATATATATCAATAATGCAATATTGATCGTACTAAGACGCGGAGCACCGACTTTAGTGCTCTGGAAAAGGTAGAGTTACAAAGTCGGTGACTTATTTACTTAAGGTACTGAATTTCTCATTAATATGCAATATTGAAACAAGAGATTAAGAAATCTAGCTTAGGAAATTTTCCAGAGTAAATCGAACTCTGGAAACACAGTAAAATACAGAGAAATACTCGTCGAGCAGTACTCAAGATGCAAGAGAAACTAAGCATAGTAGTACTAAAATCGCAAACATACAAAGAAAGACCTACCATAGACCTAAACGAATATCTACTCGTCGAGACACACGGATATACTCGTCGAGACACACGGATCTACTCGTGTTGAAACGGATCTCACCAAAGTGGTGGCGAGTGGTCAGGCGAGCTTAGGTCTCGAACCAACTGAGGAACTAGAAGACCCGCCGCCGCATTCGATTTCGATTTCATCGGCGAGGAAATCTCTATTGAAATCATTTATATGGGAGAAGGAAAATTAGGTATTCAGATTCTAGAGAAAGTTAGGGTTTCGAGACTGAAGATGAAGGAGACAAGCGAATCGCTTGGAGAAGGTGAGAGAGAGGAGGAAGAAAAGTTAGATTTTTTCGATGA